ACAGATTCCCAGTTTCCCGGTTGGATTCTGATTTCATCGTACTGTACGAGAGGGACACGGCAATCTACTCCCACAACTTCAGGAGGATCATCTGAGCCGCATACCCTGATCTTGGATGTGACTCCTTTGGCGTAAAGACAACCTTTCTGGAACGGATTGGTACCTGTAGCATCCCCAGCGACAGCATCCTGAGTCAACCAACAGCAGATAATACCCACAGAGACCCACCTAGCAACACTGACTAAGTCTTGTGCAATAACCCAACTCATCCTTCGGTACCTGGTACTCCCTCTTCTTTCGAAGCTCCCTTATTATGGAGCTGCAAATTGCCTCGAGATTTGAGACAGCGGGTGAGGCCGAGTTTAGTTAGCATCACTGCATGGGAATCATTCGGAATCGAATGATCAACACTGAACCGAACTCTTCTTTTCCTATTAAGCCTCGCCCGTCGCCATCTCCCTTAGATATCTAAGTCTTCTCTAAAAGTACTTTAAATCTCCGTTTCCCCTTCTATTCTGATTGACTCCTGAACTCTGTACCAGGTACCTGGTATCGGTACCTGGTACTGGTAAGTACTAGTAGGATCGTACGGTACCCAATACTGGTAGAAACCTGGTGTGTGCTGCATGGTTCCATCGTTCATACCAGTGAAAACGTCACAAGGTCACCACCTTGTACATAAGAAACGTACATGATGCTCGTACTCTTAATTAAGACTCGATTTTTTAAAAGAGAAAGCCACAAGTAAGTGTGTGGTTGACCGTGCAGCGCGGCCCCGTTCACGAAAGCCTCGATAGGATCTGGATAGTCGTCCGCACCGGCGGTCGCTGTGGCTTCGCGGGCTGCTGCAGCGCGTTTCAAGAAAGTTGAGAGTCGCGTTGCCTTCGGGGTTGGTCGTTCGTTTGTCTCGTTCGCCCAAGCACCTGTAACAGAATACTATATCGATATTAGGCATGAGAACCATGCTTATTAAATCAAAGTAAGCAAAAGCAACTGAACACAAAGATCATCAGGGAGTCTGCATTCCTTCTTCAGCGCAGCCTTCTCCAAAATGCATCCTCCTGGGTATCATAGTCCAGCTCAATCAAAACAAGCGCATTCAAGAGACTCCAGAGTGGGTTCCTCCTGTACCGGTAGTGGGTTGACTTGTATGTACTAATCTCTGCACCAGTGAGTTCTTGGCTTGCTTGTTTCCACCAATACCAAACATCCACTCTTGCCTATACGGTACTCTAGGGTAGATTTGCAGCTCTAATATCAGCTGGATTAGTCAGCTCTTCTGCACCTAAGACTTGTCTGACCATTACGGCGCCTCCCTTCCACAGTCAAACCAGTCCTAGAAGGAAGAGTACCATCTACCTGGTCGGGTGTTCCGTCCTTGAAGGCTGAACATCAAGCAATCCTAGGAATAACCAAGTTAGCAGCAATACATGTGCAGTCACGGTAGGAATAGCCAACAGGCACACGTCCACCCTTACCTGCAGATGTGTGATCATCTGTGTCATAATCTGCTCACTCCTTTGTGGCTGCTTCTCTGTCGTGAGGACTGTCAACTGCTGCGACTGATTGGCAACTCGGCGAGTGCTTGCCGGACCCGATGTTCCACCAGCCGTGCCCGCGCCGCCACCTCCTGTATCCATGGGCTCAATTACGTTGATTTGGGGCTTGGTGTTGTGATTCCAAAGAGAGAGAGAGAGCCCTTCACCACAGGATTTTCACCCACAGACAGATCGTCCTTGGTGCACGCATAGTCTTCTTGGATCTTTCGACGCACCGGATAATCCATCTTCTCCAACCAAATGGGAGATGCTGTGACTGGAGGTGAAGTAACTGGTCGTGCCATAACTGGTTGAGGTGAAATCACTGGTGGGGCGGTTATGGGAGGGGCGGTCACTGGCGCAGCTGTAATTGGTGGTGCTGTAAATTGTCGTCAAGGGCAGCCTGCGGAAGAGGAATAGCCAGGTGCAGGGAAATGCCGTTGGCGCCATCGCAGAACTCATGCGTCTATGAGACCACACGCTCAATCAGCAAGTCTGGAGTCACTCTCTTGGTCCGCCAAGGGTACGGACCACGGCAATTCACAGGAGATACATGCCCACCTTTCTGCGTGATGGGAAATCGCAGGGTGACTTTGGGTGGGTTGGAGCGAAGAAAAGGGGGAGGGGGGCAGATGGGAAGGAGAGGGGCGAAAGGAGGAATCGAATGATAGGGGGAAGTCGGGGAGGGAGCAAGGATTCAAGCATAAAGTACTAGCGAGCCCGACAAAGAGAGGAAAAGTAAATGTATGTTCAATGGTATCGGCAGCTTCGTATGTGAGTTGAGAGGGAAATCAATACGCGTATACATGTACAAAACGTTAGACTCAAATAATGTTAAATGGCATTGTTAGCTCCTGGCTACCATTGCATTGCATCTTTAGTCTTGTCCTTGGCTTGGTTTCTCGTGAAGTGGGTAATCTCTTTTTCCAGAGTTTCATTCTGCTTCTCTAGAAGCCTTATCCTTTCCTTTAGCTGCCACTGTCCGATATCGTTGCCTTCTGATTTACTCACTCTGGTTGCGTCCGCTCTTTGAGGTTGCTCCTGTAGGGGGCTTGAAGACCCGCTCTGGTTGCCATCGTCGAGATTGCCAGTCTCAACGAAAAACTCTTCTACAGCGCTTGCCTCGCTTTGCTTAATGTCCAAAACAACAGAGGAGGGATTGTCCATATCAAGATCAATATCGTGTGGCATCTCTTGGATGCTGTCTTGCCGCCTAGTGCTCCCCGATGCAGATGTCACACAGACTTCTTGACTGATTTCCCTTGGTCTGCTGCCGGTATTGCTCTTAGCAGTCGATGTCATCAAATGTCCTGAAAATGGCTCGTCACTCCACTCTTGCATGCCATCAGATGATCCCGGTTGTTTCTGAATCCATGGGGGTGCATTGTTGTCACTGAGATTGGCAGTCCATTGTAGGGAAGCAATGCTAATTGTTGACCCCCGGCGTTGAATATCCTCACCAAACAACTTAGGGATAAAATAGATGACAAGGGTGGAAAGGGTGTCCACACTGAACAGGAAGCTGCGACAGTAGGACAGGAAATATTCCTTCATCACCGATGACAGGAGGTAGGTAAAGAGCCGAAGGACCACAAAGACAGAATGGGAGTACACAAGCAGAGCTAGTGTTCCTGTCTCACGAAAGCCTTCCATTCCCACTTTCCTCATCTGCACAGCCAAGGTTGTTGTACATAGCAGGAGCAGCGCGTTCCACCCAACGCTGATGATTACCCAAGCATTGGACTCGGAGCCACAAACATCCAATACCCACACGATCGTTTCCCCATCTTCATTTTTGGTTTCTGTCAGTTCGTATTCCTGCATGACTTTGGGTGTATCCAGTACGGACCATAAAATGAGAAAGATAACCAATAGGGTGCAGATTGTTGCCACAACACCAAACAAGTAACGTCGATCGAGCCGAGATCGGCGCATTTTCTTGCCAACACTCATGATATGGTTCACCGCAGCCACTTTGACAATCAGAGGAACCAGTTCCAGTGTATACCCAATGTTGATCAACCACACCTCGACAATGCAGGAGGCATTCGTGGAAGGGATTCCAATGACAATGGCCCCCACGCCAATAAAAAGCGACCCAACCAGCAACAAGACCAAGAACTCAATCTGTGAATACTTGACAGAACGGCGGTTCTGATTTCGGTGCACCAAGAAAAGAGTCACCAAAACCAATACAACCACAATGGCACCCAGAAGAGTAGATGCGTACATGAGTGGGGCATGATCCTTCTTTTGGAATGCTCGTGGGTACGTCCGTGGGATTAGTTCCTCCAAATGGTCCATGTTGTCGACAATCCACTCACAAACGGCTTCCCGGGCATCACCTCGTCGATTCCAGATAAAGAAGATTTCGTCCAATTGTATGGAAGATAATCGGTAGTTTGCCAATACGGAATGGCTGGGAGAAACGATCCCTTGTGGGAGAGTGGGATCCTTGATGCTGTCGAAAATGGTGGTGCTCAAGAGCTTGGAGAGCAGCATGGGAGGGTCATCGCAGACGGTGAGTGCTGACCCAATTCGTTTCTCAACATCCGCATCGCAGTGCAATAGGTTGACACCCTCACGGGCACTCATACACGCCACAGATGGCGGAGGCAAGCTGACGTGGGTGAATTCCGCCGGAGAAGCCAGGAATTCGGAAGGAAATACATCCGGATGCCACCAATATCCAATCATGTCCGACTTGGTGGCGTTAGCAGCCCTCCATATTTGGGTCAACTGGCCACACTCAAGACATGGAAAGCACCAACCAAGCCATTTATGACGATCACATTGAACCGCCTCAGAGCCTTGGCATGATTGGTCAAAATGCTTGGTTTGTGCCTAAGTTCACGGCATCCAGAGATTCCACCGTGCTAGATTACAGGGGTCTACAAGGACCCGAAAAAAGACAAAAACTTGCCGAGCACTTTCACAGACCAACCACCTGGAAAGACTACTGCGATCAGGTGTCCTCCGATGGGTGCAGCAGTCCCGACAATGTAGCAGCTAGGCCGCCACAAAATCAAGATGAAGAGCAACACTTCTTTCACAGTGGTGGCATCTACACAGGACACTTTCGACCAACCGACAAAAACAATTGCACCTTACATCCGGACTCCTGCACGGGATTCTTTGCGGACTATCCTTGTGAGTGGGGCAGTCCAGTTGCCACGCAGCTGTACAATCTGGATATTGCTCTGGATGTCGATCTGGATGTTCATCCAGGAGGTCTCACACAT